TATATATATGAGTGCTTGTGCGGACAGACAACAGTAAATAGACAGACACATACACAGAGCGCTACTGAAGAGCAGAAGCTGGTTTGCGCTCTGCTGGATGCGCTTTTATACTTTCTGGTGCTTACGTCACCCCGCTCGTGACGTCTCGCTGCTCCATTGGACTGATTTGACACGTGTTTCAGAACGCGGTCACGCAAGGGCGTTCCCAAAGCAATCTCGACGCAGCTCGAGTTCCTGAAGGGGAAACACCTAATATCTTATTTATAATTCATCAGCACAAATAGATGAAAAATGGAACTCTTAAGTTCTGAAACATTGTTGCACTTGATTAGAATAGTAGTTAATTTAAAGGTGCAGCATGTAAAACAGCTAGCGGTTGAAATTGCTACTGCAAACTTGGCCAGGCAGACATAACTTGGAAAATTTAGTTGTTTCTTTTTAAATTTAATGCTGTTGTGCTTTTATGTAATTTTGATATGTCTTATTTGGTATGTTATTCCTGTTAAAAACCAATAAACATTTAGTTTAAAAAAAGAAGAAGAAGAAAATAAATAAATTGTTACTGCAGTCCAAATTGAAAATATTTGAGTTGTTTCTTCTGTTGTTTCTTCAGACTCAATGCTCACGAGGGTTGCAAGATTGAGGAACACCTTACACTCTAAGTTGATGAATTGATTTATCCGCATTTTAATTTGCTTTTTTATGCTGATGCTTTTCAGGTTGTGTAGAATCTGATTTCTGACCCACTTTTTTTGCTGGCTTCCATGGGTGCAGTACGCTGTGTTTTCCGCCAACTGGCAACCCGGAGTGTCGAAATATTATTGGGTAAATTTGCAGTATGTGGAATCACACACAAATATGTGAACTGAGCATGTTTTCTTAATATCTACAAACGTTACAGAATTTTTATGCTTAGTACAGTCAAAAAAAATTACCCAGCACCTTTAAAGATCATTATGGAGAATATTTTTAAGTACCAATCAGGCAATTTGTTATGCTTTTTATTTTAATTTTTTCTGGAGTTGTTTATTCCTGTAAAAGAGGGGAAATATGATGGTTGCTCAATTTTTACTTATTTGTTTAGAAATTCTGTGTATGAAAGATGCAAATGACATCTGTTTTGTACAATGAAAGTATATTCAGTTTGACCCAGGTATTCTTCATAATGGTGCAGAAAATGTTAGAAATTATTGTATTTTCAAGATAATGTGAATAGAGTTATTGCTCTTCAAGTATTTGCATCAATTTGTGTGAGTGTGAACAGAACTCAGCGATAATTATTTTCAAGCATAACATGATGTGATGTACCTGCTGCTCTAAAACTGCATATAGTTGCTTCTGGACCACCAATCTCCATTGCATGCTTCCATCTGACGTTGCTGCCTAGGGGGGTCATGCAAGGGTGACCGCTGACAGACTTTCAAATTGCATCATTTTGGAAGCGGCAGGTCCTATATAGAGCTGATATTTCACAGGTCAGTGCGTGCAACACCAGTCAGACCTTTCGGAGCAGGACTTACCTGATGTCCCTGACCTTTTAAAGAAGTCAGAACTTAC